ACACCTGTTGAACTTCTACGTCTTCAGCATTTAAAAGTCTAAAACCCAAACTGGTCCCCAAACACACTGACTCTATATACACAGAATCATGTTCTCTGATTGGCTGTTAGCAGTTTGCTGCAAACCTTCAGGTAACCATGGTAACAGGACCGATGTGTGTCTCATTGAGTTTCAGGACGAGCATCATGTGGCTGAGAGACTGTGTGTGGCTGCAGCCTCCTCTCTGAGCACGCTCACTCCCAGCAGCACGTTCAGAGCTCACGTTCCTGCCTCGTGATGCCTACACACATAACTTCCATTCACTCGCCCTCAGCCAATCAGGTGCCTCGTAGACCCTGAGACTCAGAGCCTCAGCCAATCACACAGCGGGGTCCTCAGCATCAGGAGTGGGCGGAGCTTCGTTATATAAACAGACTGCAGCTTTGTCTGCTTTTTATTCAGCAGTGCAGTGGAAGCTTTTATTTTGAAGCAGAAGCTCACGTTTCCTGTCTGATTTCTGATCACATCATGTATTAATTGAATCTGATCAGTTATTTATTGATTACTCAGATATTCAGGTCTGCAGAGGGTTTAATGAGTTCATCAGTCACACTGATGAACACTGATCAATCGCTTTGGCTGTGATTTCTGGTGCAGTGGTCACTTTATTAGGAACACCTGGAACGTCCACGTTCCTGCTTCCACTCTGACCTGGCTCTAGGTTTTCCCACTGATCAATAGAAAGTATTGATCAGCGATCACTGTTGAGACCTGGCTTCACTGTGCTCCCAAATGCAATATCGATGCAGTACTACTGCCCTCCTGAGTGGCTGTACTCGAGTACTGACCTGCAACCCCGGCAGAGCGCCGCAGGAGGACCCCGACTCGCTCTGTCCAAAGTCATGTTGTTTCATCTTCTATCAGACCACATGGGACCGTGACCTCTGACCCCGCAACACCAACAACCTCAGGAAAAGCTCCTGAAGACAAAAACAGATACACATTAAAAACACTGCAGTAAGACTACTCCAAATATCACATATAGCAGTACTACAGTGATGCCAAGACTGTAGTACCAGTTGTGCCAGCATAAATATCACAGTAATACTGCAATACATACTACAGTAACACTGGACTATATCCTGCAGTAATACATGAGTAAATACTGTCTTTACAGTGATATAAATATTGCAATACAGTCTGAAAACGCTGCATTAATAGTTGCACTGCACAAAATTGTACTACTACTGTAGTAATTCTGCAGTAAATACTTCATTAGTACTACTAAAAATATTTCAATACTACCTTATTAAATACTCCAGTAACAATTACTACAATAATACTTCAAATACTGTAAAATATTCTGTAAAAAACTTAAAATACTGTAAAATATTCTGTAAAAAACTTAAAATACTGTAAATACTGTAGGAACGCTGCTTCTGCCTTTAAACCGGTAGGAATACTGTAGTAGTACTGGTTTAAATACTACAGGCACACAGGTATAGATACTGTGATAGAATTAATATAAATAACACAGGATTACACTGCAGTATTAATGCTATCAACACTGCAATTGTACCAGTATAAATACTGCAGTAGTACAGGTATAAATACGGTTACGGTAGCAGTATAAATACTGCATCTCCTCCAGAATAAGGTGACGGGCTATGGCTCCTTCACAATAAAAGCCTGTGATGCTGCCGTTAGAGAACAGGCTGTCCTCGCGCTCGGACACGGGCAGAGAGGAGCTGCTGCCCGGTGTCCGGGCTCACCTGTGCGGGTCTCACTTGTCCGTCCGTTGCACAGTCTG